ATCGTGCATGGCCGCAAAATGGCGCTTTTTTCTCTCCTCAAAGCATCGACCACTACTGAGAGGCTGCGCGGTTTGAACACTTTGGGAGCCCCACTGCTCGTCCGAGCAGGCGGCGAAATGGCTGGTTATTTCTCTCGTTCTATGGCCTCCGGCCCCCGACGCCGTGGCTGGGGCCGCTCAAAGAAGAGCACCACCACCACCACCACGGCGCGCCAGGCCAGGACGGGCGCGCGCGCTCGGCCTGATGGGGAGGGACTGGATCCATTATACTGGATGGGGCGATAAAGGTATTTGGAGGGACACTGAGAAGCTACGTCGGGTCGGGCCGGGCCGCTCGCTACCCCACCCACTGCGCCGCCCGCACCGCCCCACCACCCCCTCCGCCTGTTTTCACTGACCCCCTTTCCCTTTTCGTTCATTCCGCTACCGCCCCGCCCCGCCCGCGCCACGCACGAACGGGCAGCTCGTCTATCTAACTCTATCAGACCTACCAACAGGTGAGGCGCCTGTGGGGTGCCGCGCCTCCGGAGCGGGTCCGACCGGCACCCGCGAGCGGGCACGGCGGGCATAGTGCACACGGCGGGCACGGCCAGGCAGGGTGGGCACGGCAGGCATGGCGGGCACGGCGGCCTTGGTGGGACACGGCGGGCATGATGGGACACGACGGGCACGGCAGGCACGGCGGGCACCCGGGGGCGCCCTCGGCCAGTCCGGGTTATGGCTTTGGGGCGGAGAACGCGCGCGCAGCGAGACCGAGAGAACACCGAGGAGGACGGGGCGGTCAGAGTAGTGGAGGAAGAAGAGGATGGGATGGGAGGGGAGGGAAGGGGAGGGAAGAGGATGAGGGCAGACCACTCGGATTGCGTCCACACTACGGGGGGAGGGGGTGGACTCTATGCTCCGCTGCGTATTTATAAACCCCTCCCGCACGGCACCCACCGCAGGGAAAGTAAGCATCGGCGCCCGGACTCTGTGTACGTGCCACTCCCCGGGGGCGAGGTAGGGCGGGTGGTGGGGCAAGGTGGGTCGGAGTAAGGCGAGGTGGGGTGGGGCAGGGGTGGGGCACAGTGGGGCGTGGTCGAGCGGGGTGAGGTGGTGGGGGTGCCAGGTCCCCAGGGGCGTCTTACACCGGCCTCCTGGCCGCCAGGCGGGGTATCAGAGTGTCGGGCCAAAGTTTGATGCCGGGGACGTGAAACACACACCGCCACCCTCGCGGCTGCGCGCCCGGGGGCGGGGCGCGGACGGGGCGTTGGCGAGGCGCACGGCAAGGGCGGGTGCGCGCGGTGGGGATGTCGGTCGGATGACGTCACGCCGTTCGTCTTTTCCTGGAAGCGCGCAGGGGGTTTGGGTTTCCGTTGGCGTTGCACGTGGCCATCGCTATATGCGATATGCGCCTACGCTCTACCCCCCGTCAGGGTATTATGGGGCGAGGGCTTGGCAGGGGGGTCGCGGGTCGTAGGTCGTGGCGTTGTGTGGTGCGCCTGGGACGAGCTTGGCCGGAGTAGGGGTGGGCGGCAAAGACGGCCCCACTGAGATAGGAAGTAAGACTGTTGCAGTAGTGCGGCCAACACATCCAGCTCACATCCCCCTGCGCACACGCGCACACACGCACACACGCGCACACGCACACACACACACACACACACACACACACACACACACACGAGCGTTAGCGCACTTCTGCGGCGTGGCCCGGCAGCGTCGCTGAGAGGGGTCGTATGGGGCCCCATTTGGCCGCCAGTCTGCCGCGCCGGGCGGGGTCCTCCCGCCGCCGAGTTGAAAAGTTGGCCGCCATCATGTCGTGGGAGGATGCGGCCCCTTCCGTTTCCGGTCCGCGAACTCATTTCCGCGTCTCCTTCGCCCACTCGTGTGGAGAGGGCGGTGGCACGGGCCGGGCCGGACACCACCGTGGCACCGTGGCAGGGGCGGGGTGGGGTCGGGCGGGGCGCGACGGCTGCGCCAGTGTCAAGGACGATATTTCGCAGAGCACACGGCCAGACGGGCCATGGCCAGACGCTCCGGGGCGGGAAAAACACGCGGGGATGAAACCGAAGTGACAGGCGGGACGGTGGCGGGGCGTGGCGGGGGGTGGCGGGGCGCGCAGGCGACGGGCCAGCCGCACTTTCTCAATTATGTTGTTGGAAAGTAGGTTACCCACGCCGCGAAACCGAAGAGGGAAGACAAGTTTTGTCGCTATGAGATTTGAGCTCCGTCTGGTGAGCGCTGCCGCGTCGCGCCTCCTAGAGAGGAGGGCGGCGTGGCGTTTGCTAGCGCAGCCATTTCATGGCCGCATTATATCGTTGAGGCCGCGTCCTTGTTTTTGTCCACCCTTTGGCGTCGTTCACAGCAGCGGGGCACTCCACGGCCACGCCTAAAGTGATCCGGGTGTCAGATAGCTGGGAGCCGTGGCGCCTCGCAGTGAGTAAGACGTTGAAGTTGGCGCGAAAACAAAACACACACACACACACGCGCGCGCACACACACACACACACACACACACACACACACACACACAAGCCGGACCGCCGATAGGCAAAGAGGAGCTCTGCTCTGGGGCTGGCTGGATGGTAAGGGGATAGCGCGGCTGGTGGCGAAGTCCGATAGTTGATGCAAAGTACACTTCTTAGTGGCAAGTTTTGCATACGAAATATGGTAATGAGTTTAGTTGCCATGCTAATACGGGCATCTCGCTTCGCCACCCTCGCACCGGCGGCACGGCTGCGGCCCGGAGAGTAGGGCCTCCTGAGAGGGCCTCAGAGAGGGCGGCTCCCGTGGGCGCGGCGGGCGGCGCCGAAACGAGAGGCCCCTACACCACCTGCTGCAAGCCGCACGTCCTCTACGAGCACCAAGTGTGTTACACGAACGCAATGGTTACGGAACATTCCCCCTATGTATGCGTCATTTGCTGCTAACATGCTAGACCGTGGTATAAAGAGTAACTGCATGTTTGGAAAAGGGAAAATATAAGGAACTGCCATAATAGAGGAATCAGATTTTGGCGGAATGTTCTTGAACAATAACGGAAAATTCCCTCATTATTTTCTTAAAACCTGGGGAGTTTTCCTCAAACTAGGGAGGGGGTTCCTCAAAGTTTTCCCTATTCCCTAAAATAAAAATAGATTTTCACCGTGACCCGGAGGACAGCTCATCGGATAAAGGAATCGCGAGCGCCATTCACCCCCCGATTTATCGCGCGCACTCGCACGTTTCCCAGGGTTCTTTTACCGCCGCAGTCCGCCCCGCAGTGGCACCGTGGCGTTTTGGCCACGAATTAATTGGTATCGTTATCGGGTAGCATATAATCCAGTTTCGTCCGCATCGCTGCAAACACGCGCGCGCGCGAGACTGATCGGATCTGATCCGCTAGCTGCGGGCCCGCGGATATACTCAACATGGATATGACGCGAAGTAGGGGGTTCTCCGCGACAAGTGGCCAAAAAGCTGTCGCCGCACCGCGCCGCCCGATATTTATTTGGGTCGTTCGGATTTGGGGAGAGAGCGGGGTCCGGGGTCCGTTATTGGACCGTCGGGCTACTTGTTGCGTCGCCCCGCCTTTTCTTTGCCCCCGCCGCCCCCGCCGCCCCCCCGCCCCCGCCGCCCCCCGCCAGCTACCCTTGCCCATGATTGCGGGCCGGGTGCGCTGTTTGCCAGCCCCTCCGGCCGGGAGAGCCCCCGTCCCTCAAAGAGGTCCCCTTGGAGGTCCCTCCTCGGCAGGACCCGCAGCGGCCCCTCCACACCACCATAGAAGACCTCCTCGCCTCCTCCTCCTCCTCCTCCTCCTACCGAGTTCGTTTACATTGCATTGCGGCGTGGGGTGGTTTTAGAGCGGCGCGCAGAGTTATTGGAACGCAGCGGCGGTGGCGGCGGTGGTCTCTGGGCTGGCCTGCTGCACGAGCCGCAGGGACATTTTCTTTCACCCCCCCCCCCTCCCCCCGGCGTCGCTTTGAATCGGAGATGAGGGGGACAAGATGAGAAATCTCGAGCCGGGCCGGGCGTGCGCGTTCCATTATTCGCACACTAACCGCCCGACCTTCCGACCCGCAGCTCAGCGCAGCCCAGCGCGCGCTTGGCCTCGCCGCGCAATAACGCTGCTACACGCGCGCAAACTTTTAAAATTTTTAAAAATTTCAGCGTTAGTAAGAAGTCGTATATTTGGAAATAAAGCACTCAATGAAGAAGAATGCAAGAAAATAAGAAAACGGAAGAAACCATATGTTAAAGCATAGCAATTTCCGTTTTCTTCTTCCCCGCATTCTTCTGTATTACAGCTTCGCCGGAATGCTTTATTCATTATAAACATTTCAAGTTGTGCCGTGGGTGTATCTTTGAATGCACCCCAGTGATTTTTTTTTTTTTGGGGGGGGGGGGTCGCCTAACTCCCTTTACCATCGCCCCAAGCGAGTATGCAAACCCGCACCACTGGTGTGCCTAGAAAGATAACTACATATAGATACGTCGTGCAGCAAAGTGCGTCAGTGGACAGGCTCGACCGCATGTCGGTATGCCAAATGCCAAGAGTGCGGCGGCGGGGCGGGTGTCACTAGCTGCCGAGAGGGAAAGCTTTTCCCCGCTCTTCCGTTCGTGGAGGGAGAAGAAACTAACTGGGAAACAACTTCTTGAACGAGCGAAGAAGTAGTACAGTCACCGACAGTCGCTACATGCACGCGCCGAACACCGGTGGGAAAGACTTCCAAAACCCAGTCCTTCCTCACGTCGGCAGGAGGAGGCGCCCCCGGGGCGACGACCTGCCGCCTCGCGGGGCAGTGCGTTGGGTTGCCTATCTGACTTCGTCGGGCGCTCCGTGCGGTCGCCAGGCCGCTCAAACCCGTAGCTAGAGGACAAAGCCCGAAGGCCTGTTGTCCAGCCAGCAGTGTTCCTCTGCATCACTCGACCGTTCGAAATATAAAAAGTCTGCCTCGCCACCGCTGTTGTTTTTCCACACAGAGTAATATGCATCTTTCGATGGCTGACGCACGCGTCTCTTTTTGTGTGTGTTTCAGGAAGGAGCCCGGGAAGCCACCGTGCCGCACGGGGGCGTGCCGCGTCTGCCTCAAGAGCCTGAAACCCGAGGACGTGATCCGTGTGTGCGGAGAGTGCCACTTCAAGGTGTGCGAGGACTGCGCCTCCTACACCAAGCAAGAGGACCTCGCCGACGACGTGAGTACACACCACTCACTCGGTCCGTATCTCTGCAGACCTTTCGATACGTCACACCCAGAGAACCGTTCCTATCGCGGGAAAAGCAACTTTATTTACTCAAACGAAAATTTCGAGTGAGATAACGGAAAGTCGTAGTTGAAAAACGAAAATTGAATCAAAATGAGAAAATTTGGTTTGAGCAGAAGAAATTTTTCATCTTTTAAACGAAAATTTCGTCAAAGTCATGTAATGATTTTGTTTCCACAGAGACAAGGTTTCCTGGGCCTGGGTGCAAGACTAAGTCTTTTTTTTGCTTCTTTCGAATAAAGAATTAACAGCCGCCATGCTGCCGTGCTTGAATACCATTCCGATATTCTTTTCGTCAGTAGATCACAAAACCTCTTAAATTACAAATCATTTTGAATGCGACGGGATAAATTGTAAACCGAATCGGGCGTCGTTCAAGTGTAATCGGGGGATCTGAGGGGGTAATAATGGATTCAAACTTCCCCGAGCTCTTTCCCCTCCCCAAATCTCTCTTCCCTCCGGTGTTCAACGACCATCCCTCCCGGACAAGCCTCCGCCCGCCCGACCCAAAGCCCCAACAAGCACCCCTCCTCTCTCCCCGCGCGCTTCCACCCTCCGCATAAGTACTCGGGGGGGAGGGGCCCAACAAGTACGGCGGCGCGGGGGTGGCGAGGGGGCAAGTGCTGCACGTGGTGAGCCCTGGCCGCCCCCCTCCAACGCCCCGCCGCGCCACACCCCCCTCCGGTGATAGGGGTTGGAATGGCGGGCAACCAACTTCCCTCACCCTGCTGAGTCTTTGTCTCGCCCCGCCCCTGCCGCTCCACGCTCGCTGGCCCAGGTCCTGCAATCCACGTCAATTTTCACAACCCC